TCTTCCCCCGCTTTGATCTGCTGGTGCTCACGCGCTGGGGCAAGGCAGGTCAGTTATTTGAAGCCCCGCTGGGAGAAGCCAGGTGCTGCAGGACACAGAGCTGGCAGCTCAGTGCGTGGCACTTGTACTAGGGAGCCTACAGAAAATTGGACAGGGGGAGGAGGGTCATGAAGGGGCTCTCCAGTGACTGACACTCATGCTTGGTTCACTGCAGTTCCCAGCACCCTCTTGGGAAGACAGAGAGGTTTGCATTCCTGTCTGCAGCACTGTAGCTTGAACTTGGTGGCTCCTTGTGCCCGAACCATCTGGGCTGCATCAGAGTGTCTCACCCTGAGGACTGGTGCATCCCTGGGATGAATGGAGGAAGCAAGCCTGCACTGTCAACGAGGAAGAGGCTTTGGGATTTGTTTAACTAGAAGGTGCTTGGGGAAGCAGAGGCTGGGAGCGTTTCTTTGAAACTAGGATGGGAACAAGGAAAAGCACCTGCTGAGCCTGAGCTTACGTCCAGGAGAAAGCTGGATTCAGGAACCAGGAGCCTGAATACAGCAGCGAATTTGAAATGTCTGGCATTATTCTGGGAACTTTACCAGCTCCAGAAGCTCAAACACCTTCATAGCCAGAGCACCTTCTACTGGCCTTGGTGCAGCCTAGCACCTCGGTTTTGCGTCCTAGTCTAGAGCAGTGGTCTCCAAACTTTTCTGATTGCACACCCCATCAGTAAAAAATTTTTGAGCACGCATCCCCAATATATGTATATTTATATTTGCACACCCCATCAGTAAAAACTTTTTGAGCACGCACCCCCAATATATGTATATTTATATTTGCACACCCCATCAGTAAAAACTTTGAGCGCGCACCCCCAATATATGTATATTTATATAAATATACATCTAAATAGAAGTTCTAATATTTTCTTCCCGCACCCCAATAGATCGTCTTGCGCACCCCCCTTTGGAGACCACTGGTCTAGAGTAGAGCTGGGGGGTGGAGAACAGACATCTGGGGTGAAATTCTGGCCCTGGGGGAGTCCATTGATTTCAGTGGGGCCAGTTCAGACAGACTTGAGGACTGGGAGTCGGTGAAGAATAGAAACCCTTTCAGCCGTGAGGTCTCTGGCCACTAAGGGCTCCATGGAAATAACCGAAACTTCCTGTTGCTGCCCCATTAGACAGAGCAGTCGGCCCAAGTTTGAGGTCCAGCAGGTTGTCCCTGTTAGAGGGAGAAATCTTGGGTGAAGGCAGGTGTCTCTGAGGCAAGTCTTTTCATCTGCAAAGACTATTCTATGCTCCCTGTCTCCGAATGCAGGGTGACTCAGAGGAGAGGAGAGCATTTCAGTGCCATGTCAGGCAGCACGCAGCCCCCACACCTCCATTTCCAGGCATTTCTTAAAGCTCATTTTGCGTATCTTTGGCTTTCTGCTGCTTCTCCATGTCTGTTTGCCAATACACAGCCCTGTCCCATACCCGCACACTTGGGATCTCAGAGCAGCCTTTTGTGCCTTTGCATTGGGTGGTGGCCTGCAGCTGTGCTTGGGCTGGTGACCACTCATTCAGCAAGAAGCCTCGTTGTTACTCAGAGTTGTGTTACATGGAGGGCGGTGGTTACACCTAGGAGCTTCAGTGCTTGGCACAACATAGCTATTTGTACCTGAGCAGCTGAAAAAGTCTCCAGAGGTGGAAAAGCATCATTGCTTCCATTGTACAGGTGGTAAAGGGAAGTAGCCAGCTCAGGAACAAGGGAGACTGGCTGTATTAGGAACATAACCCAGGTCTCTTAACTCCCAATTACCTGCTTTCACCAGCAGACTTTGTCTCTGTAATGAGACAAGAGAAGAACCAGGCAGGCGTTGGCTGGCTGCCTCTGGGTGAGGGGAAGCATTTCTGAAATGAAGGAAAACAAAGATGTGGGCTCCAAGAGGGAAAAGACATCCTGCCTTTGCAAGCATCAACACAGCCACTGCGGCAGTAGTGGAGCATGCGGCCGCACCACCCCCAGCCCTGGCTTGGGAAACCCGTCTGATTTAAAGGGAATCAATCTCCTAAACCATCTTCTCCTGGGAACCAACTAGAGCAGCTGGGGTCAAGAGAGAGGAGGAGACGCCAGATTGATTTCCCCTTTCCCCCATCTCTGAACAGCCCTGGCTTCCGGGCAGGGGCACTGACTTCTCCGTCTGCCCGTGGGCCCCGCCACGTGGGCAATGAGAGCAGCTTCCGTGAGAAAATTCAATTAGACCCAGCAAAGAAGATGGATGCTGGTGCTCCCTCGCTGGGGCCCCAGCCTGCTCTGCTCTTCTCCACAGTGAGATACCGACTGCAGGGGCTCTTAGGAGAGAACCCTAGTAAATCTGGTGGCATTTATAGCCAAGGCTGGCCAGGGCAGGCTTTCCAGGCAGGGGCGTGCCAGCGGGTACCTGGTGTGGAGGCAGGATTGGCTGCTTTTGAGGTCAGATGCCAGCTGGTGTGGAAGGCAAGGGGCTGGGTCTAGTGCTTTTCTCATGACACTTAGCTGAGTATCTGTAAAGGGGCCTACAGCTCTGCTCACCACAGTGAGAGGGGGGCTAGTGCCAGTGTCCTGACCAAGTTTGGGTAACTATCATTCAGCCTTCCTGATACCCCACCTGTTCACCCCCAAGTCCGGCCGTGCCAGTTCAGTGTGGTACAATAGACACTTCCTGCTCTGAGCCTCTGTGCGTGTTGTTCGAGATGGCCCCGTTCTGCACCAATGACAATGGGGTTTTATTTAAGATTGGGTGAGGGAAGAAGGGTTGATAGTTTGCGGGGGTGAGGGAGGGCAGAGGCAGAAGAGAAGGAACTGCTTTTTAAGTATGTTTGTACTGTGCCTGGCACAGCCTGGAATATGTGGCAGTCTAAGGATAGAGCTATGATGAACTTGCCTGGCTTGAGGGTGAGCTTAAAAGGAGGGATGACTTATACAGTGAATTCTGCAGAGAGCAGGGTGAGAGCGTCATCACTGCAGGTCTCTTGGTATTCAAGGACTCTGCATGACTCAAGTTGCAGCACGGGAAGTTTAAGTTAGATATTAGGAAAATCTTTCTCACTAGGAGGGTAGTAAAGCACTGGAACAGCCGGCTACCCAGAGAGGTGGTGGACTCTCCATCCTTGGAGGTTTTTAAGACCCGGCTACACAAAGCCTTGGCTGGCATGATCTAGTTGGGGATGGTCCTGCTTTGAGCAGGGCGTCGGACTCACTCGATGACCTCCTGAGGTCTCTTCCAACCCTTATTTTCTATGAGTCTATGGTTTCAGGCTGCAGCACAAGAGGTGGCAGGCATGTAACATTTCGAACAGGCATGGGGCCAGGCTGTCTCAGGTGCCTACAGGAGTCAGGCACACGCCTGGCAGCAAGGACCTGCGATAACTCCCAGCTTGGCAGCCTGGCTTGATAGACTGTGGTGGATTAGGTCCAGGTGTGCTGCAGGACTGGGTGGAAGGCACCCTTTGGAGAGCGGCTTTTAGCAATGGCGTTGGGCAAATGGATGCAGCAGGATGGGTAGATGGCATCCCTTCTCCGCTGAGACCTGTGCTAAGGACATCCGCAGCAATGGTGCAGCTGCCGTGGTACCACAGAGCCATCTGGTGGGCACAAGGTGCCAGCCTCGGCTACAGGAGTGGGGCTGCATTGCCCCTTCCTCTGTATCCTTATTACCCCGCGACTTTGCCTGGGCTCCCCCCCCCACAAGTGCAGCCCTTGATTTGAGCTGAGCTGTGCATAATGAAGCTGGGAAAGGGGGACAGTCCTAAGACTAAGGAGACCTAAGGGATAAGGCAGGGTACTGCCCACCCTGTGGCCCCTGGTTCCTACAGCCAGTGTGACAGAGAAGGCCCACTAGCCCCTCCTGGGGAGCTGAGCATGTTCAACAGTGGGGAAAAAAGTTCCCTCTGGGACCAGCATGGGCAGGGGGGAATCCGTTTCAGAGCCACACCTCCCTTGCCCGGGGCTCCTGCTGGATTTACTGATGCCCACAGCGCCCAGGGTCCTGCAGGAGCATGCTTAAGTTGCCTCTGTAGGCAAGCCCCTTCGGCAGTGGAGCACTGGGGACACCCAGTGCCTGCCGAGGTAAACGTCAGGCCTGCGCGCGCTAAGGGAGCTGGTGTCAGCCCACGTGGCCGTCCCCTTTGGAGCCAGCCTTACAGCGGTGTATGCTCAGTAAAGCTCACTCAGTTCTGCTCAACATCTGGGGCAAAGACTTGCTCCCACTTCCAGCCTGTAGTTAGAGGGAGCATAATCCCAGGGTGGTGTCCTGACTGCATGGCTTTGGGCTAGCCAGGGGCTGGCTGTCCAACAGCATTGGGGCATGGGGCTGCCTGATGCCCTGTGCTCTAGGGATGGCACAGACCCTCTCCGACAAAGGGGCAGGAAGTGGGTGCTGAGCTGCATGTCATCCAGCGAGGCACTGGATGAATACTGCCCCGCAAGGACAGCGTGGGCAGCAGTGGGGTGAGCACACTGGGGTATAGACCCATTGCCAGCAGGCAGGGAGCTCACACCTGGCCTCAGCCTCCTAAGGGGTAAGAGCAAAGAGCTGTGAAGTCAGAGACTCAGTTCAGCTCTAGGATCTTGGAGCGGGCTGTGAGGCAGAGGGTACCCTGCCTCATAGGCCAAGCTGGGGTCTCCAGACAAGCCATATGTCTTGGTTGTCAGAGCTGAAGCTTGGGGGAGGTGATGCTCTGTGGGAAAAGACTCCTTTGCCTTCCCAGCCTGTGGACCTGAGCTCTCTGGACCCATGATGGAGGGTGCACTTCCTGCCCGCAGAGAGGCTATAGATCTGCCAGCTTCTGCCAGGCAAGGGTGCAACTGGGAAAGTGGGCATGTGCCATTCCTGGAGGCCATCCAGCACCAGGCAAGAATGGGTGGGGACTGCTACCATAGGCCTCTTTGTCTGGGGACTGCTGGCATAGGCCCCCACCTATCCCCCAGGGTGGTGGCGCAGAGCATGCTCAGCCCTGAGGTGCAGACAAACCCTCCAGACGAAGCAATGTTCACAAGAGCCTTGTTTATTGCCTTCACCCACGGGGGGGTTCTCAGTGGCTGAGGATGCATATGGGCCCACATTTCTGGGCATAGCCAGTCGTAGAGAGCCTGGCGAGGCGCAGGGCTGGGGTGGCTCAGAAATTCTCGCTTTTTGCAAAGGAAAAAGTGAGCGTGTTGTATTGGATAATGGTGTGCCCTGGTGCTAAGGGGTTAAACTGCGTACACTGCCCTGGCAGGCCCAGCAAAGAGGACGTGTACATGTATGTGCACATGCACACACAGACACACACATATGCACTCACACGCACGTGCACACAACTGCTCCCACTCTCCCTCACACACACACACACACCCCTGCTCCCTCAACACTCAGCCAGCCTACTCAGGGGAGGGAGCCCTCTTCCAGAAGACTGTCTCAGCAGAAGCTGTGCTCAACTAAGGCCTGTGCTGTGGCCTGGAGGCCTCAGCGATTCGGCGAGGTATTGGGTGGGGAGATGCACCTAAGCGTGGTCTGGCAGGAAAGCATTTGGTGTGGAGCGGGATGTGCCATTTCCAGGTGCAGGGGAAGAGCCTTGGAGCAAGGAGAGCTTATAGCAGAGTGTCTAGGGTCCGGGGAGTCTGAGGAGCCTTGGGGCAGAGGTGGCTTCGAGGGGTCCCTTGTTTCTGCAGCACAGAGCCAACGGTGCTGTCTGGAGGCTTTTATCTAGAGCGCGGCTGTCCACCCTCTAAGCCACACATTAGGCAGACTTCCCTCGCCAGGCTGAAGGAAAGCAGGTAACTTGTATCCCTATTTAATAAATGGGAGGGGAGAGATTAAAAGACATGACCCAGGTCACAGAGGGAGTCAGTGGCAAAGCAGGGACAAGAACTGACAGTTTCCTGGGTCCGGATCTTACAGGCCTTTCTCTCGCTCTTTAAAGCTTCCAAAAAAATGAGGGCCGTATCCCCCTCAAAGGTAACTGAGTTGGACTTGGAGGTGGGAGCATCTGCTGAGGGCGGAGGAGGGGTTAGTGTTGGAGGCAACACGTGTCCCAAAGCCTGAGCAGGCAGTAGCTTACAGGACTTTCTCTCTCTCTCTCTCTCTCTCTCACACACTCACACACACACACACACACACACACACACCAGGTTATATGCTCGTGGCCCAGACTGCCAGCCTTGACTCTGGAAGCGGCACCATGCAGAACCCATATGAAGGCCACGCACGGCTTGAAAGTCAGTTCCGGTGAGCAGGACCTAGCCTGATCCAAGGGCCTGTGGCCAGGCTATGGCTCCACCATCACGCTGCTGTTAGTCACGCGGACCCCATACCAGCCTTTCCAGAAAAGAGTGTCCTGACCACCGTGTTCAAAGCAAATGAAGCGGACCCCTGGGCCGTAGTCAGAGAAAGTGTGAGAGGCCTTAGAGGGAAGAGAAACAAAACGGCTTGTAGTAAGTTGCCCACCTGGAATCCCCACTCAGAGGGAGGCTTAATGGGTTAGCAGGCTGCTGAGCTGCATGGTAACCCCACCTTTTAGCCCTGGTACAAGGGCTGAGGAAAGCAAGAGGATGCAGCTGGGAAAGCTCCACCTTCCCGCTTGCCCCCGGGGCTGACCTGCTGTCCCCCGCATGCCTTGCCCTGCCTCCCCAGCTGGTCATTGTGCCTCACCTCATTCCAGCTGCCATCGTTGTCCTCTGGAATAGCAACGGTCTCGCTCTTGTACTCTGCCAGGACATCCTCATGCTCTGACAGCAGCTTTGCAGAGAACTCATAAAGGCAGCCAGCATCGCGGCGACCTGCATACCTGAAGATGGACCCAGCCCCAGTGTTTCAGAGGGGAACAGCTGAGCCTGTGCTGGATATCATGTAGCCACAAACTCAGGTGAGACCCAACTGGGGCCAGAAAACAAAGCCCCAGTGGTCTGCTGCCCAGTCACTAAAGACTGCTAGCAACAAGGGGACATCCATGCTCTCTCAGGCACTGGCATTTTTACTACTCTGCCCGCAATGGGAGCTTTGGGAGGTCAGCACTTCCAAAAAAAATCAGGCCTCATCTTGGTTCCCAGTGCCAGACCTTTATCAATGTGGGCAGTGATGGGAAGACAGGGCCAGGAGGCATAGTCACTGCCTCTTATCCCCATCTCCATCCTCCCACCCCACTCTCCACTCACCAGTCCTTCACCACAATTTTAGGTTGGGTGGTGTCCATCAGCTCCTCCCAGTACCCCTCAGCCCGGAGGTCAATGACCTGAGACTTGCGGCACCACCTGGAACAAAGGGGTTAATAGGTAGCAAAGCCCTGGCTCCCCTTCAAGTGGGAGAGGAGGGGGGACATAAAAGACAGCCTTACTCATAAGATGTGACGAAGTACTTGTGGACTCCATCGCTGGGAAAGCTTTCCCCAAAGTCCCCAGGGAGCTCCTCCACCTTCCAGCCATCACCTCCGTTCGCCACATCCCCCCAGTGCTCCAGATCCTCTGCATATGGCATAACAAGAGAAAGATCTTGGGTTCTCTCTCACATGGGCTCCAGGAGGACCAACGTTCCTGCACAGGGGTTTCTTCAGCCCATCTCATGATGGGAGTTCAGTTCAGGACCAGACTGACAACCCACTGACGCTAAAAAGTGCTAACTTCTGGGGGACCTTTGCAGTGTAAGGATCTTGTAATGCAGACTTTCATTCTCAGCATCCATCTCCTCGACCTCCCTTTGCTGCAGAGCCCTGCTTAGCATTCAGGACAGATTGCACTTATTTGACCAAGGTCTGATGGGAAATACACAGCGATACTGTGTGTTAACCCGACCGCTGAGAGATGCTTGTGGACCCCAAATCCTGCTTGGGTTGGAATTGAGCTGTGGCAAGTCCCCCAAGGGAAACGGTTCCCTGCTCTTTCTTTCAGAGACATTTCCAACCAGTGCTCCTAGTTACCATGTGTCAAAACATCCCTGCTGTGCTGGTGCTGGAGGGCGGGGGAAGAACTGACTCATCTTGTTCTCTCTTGGAGCAAGATGTCAGGATGAATGGGGGCAAATACATCAGACTTTCAAAATACGTTAGTTGTAACAAACCCAGGTGCTTGTGAAAGAGGGAAGGATTGTCTCGGTAAACTTTGGTGCTCTTATTGCTTGTTTGCAATCAGCTTTTTGCTTTGTCCACAGGGATGGGGAACTCCAGCCTGCCTTCCCTTGGCTGTGGGGGTTTCCAGACTTTGCCTGGAAGACTGCAGCCAAGCAGCAGAGAGGTGCCTGCAGCTCTCATAGGCTGCCCAGAATTGGAAGCCAGGGGGTCCTGGGTGCCAACCCCAGCTCTGCCACCAGCTCCCTTCCTGGCCTTGCCAATGGCCTTTACTGGAGTGTTTGCAAATACGATGGGCTGCCTGGGTTGTGCATGAAAAGGCCTCTGCTTTGTTGGGGAACCACCCCTCTGCAGAGTACCCAAGGAAGCCCCGTGACCACAAATGACTTGCCTCTGAGTCTGCCCAGTCCTGTACCCACCTTCATCCTGCCTCCTGTTCCAGGAGGAGGGTAGTACCAGGGCTACATGCGAGGCCGAGTTAATACTTGTACTCTGCTTTGCAAATGCAAAGCATCCCCTCCAGGATTCCTGCTGTTGGGCTGCATGGAGCACTAATGCCAAGCACAATGGTGGGTTTTGGTTCCTCCTCTCACCCAGCCTATTTCCCTCCTGCACATCCCAGCAAAGCCCCATGCGGAGGGTGAGCTCACATGGACTCAGCACCTCACCCCAGCTCCACCTGTGGGAAGCCCAAGATAAGAGGCTATGGGGTTAATAGGAACAGGTACTGCCCCATCCCACAGACTCCTCAGAGAGCCAGGGACAGATGCTGCTCAGTTCCCAGCCCTCTCCTCAGCCCCTCACCGGGACCGGGGGGTTGCAAGGTGGAGGCACTCACCTTCCCCACACGGGTTCTTGATTAAGTTCCTCTTCCTCTTGCTGAGGAAGTAGAACATCTGCCAGTTATCTGCCTCCTCCGCGGGCTCCTCTTCAGCGAAGCCCTCTTGCTGGCACTTCAAGATCCAGAGAGCTGCTCCATCCACCAGGTTCTTCCATTGGCAGCAAACCAGGCGGCACACCAGCACCAGGTCCACAGCAGGGATGAAGGCCAAGATCCGGATGAGCACTGCCTCTGGAAGGGAGTCCATCCTGCCACCTGCGAGAATGATGGGGAAGGATCTGCTGAGTCAGAGCCCTGCACTGGCCCTTGGACCTTGTCTCCCAGCTTCGGGAAGGTACCTTGGAGGAAGAAAGCCCTGAGCCTGGCACCGAGCACACACAGCACCTTCTTACTGGCAGCGACGTCCCAGGAGGAACGAGTTAATTCCTAACCTCGAGGCCTCCTGACTGCCAACCGCTCTGTACCCTGAAGCATGAGATTGGATTGTCCTTCCTTGAGGGCAGATGGCGCTCCCTGAGCTCCAGCAGCCTGGATGTGTCAGCTGAACTGTGAAAGGCAGTGGGCCTCGAGCGGAGCTTGTGGGTGAGGGAGTTGGGACCTCGTGTGGCACCAGCCTGCGCCTCCAAACACCATTCCTTCCCCAAATGCACTTATGTGGGAATCTGGCACTGAAAAAGATGCTGGACATGGAGTCCCTCTCTGCTGAAAAGCTGCAGGCAGCAGTTCAGGGTGCCTCCAGGACTTGTATGTCCTGAAACGATGCCCAGAAACCCTGGTGACGGGCTTTCCTATCAGTCCCTATACAGCAAGGCAGACTGAAGCTGGCTAGTCCTGGATTTGCAAGCCCTGCATGTCAGAGTGTACCCTATGGTAGGACAGGGCCTGCTTAGCTGGCAGATCTCTCAGTCAAAGCCTCTGGGACTCTCTCTGCCTCTTGGAGCTTTGTCACCCTGGCAACAGGATCCAAAGCATCCCTTTGCTCTGGCACACTGCCCTGGAGGCCTTCCCTGTCCCTGCACATGCCCCTCCAGGCCCAGCAACTGCAGAAGGACCCAGGGATGAGTATGCAGATTGAGAGCCACGTGCCACCCGCACGGGATGCACCATGACTGTGCTTCTGTCCAGCCAGATCCCTGCACCTGGCAGATGCTGAGACTGCAGGGAGATGCTGCCTGCATAGACCTTTCCAGACTGGCCAGGAGCAAGTCACAGAGCCTATCAATAGCAAAGAGCTACTCAGCTCATCTCATGGTGCAGCCAGCAAGGAGTGGAACCCAGGGGTCAAAATATCCCCTAAATGACCCGTGGAGCAACCAGCAGTAGTCATTCAGCCAGGCCCCAGCAGGTACGGTGCTGTGTCAAGGCAGAGAGAGATGCAGGGGGCATGGCCACCAGGAGCTTGAACTCCCCAGCTCCAGCTCCTGAGCTCACGTGCAGTAGGCACCAAATCTGCTGCACCGGCTGCTGCTAGCAAACAGTTCCTGGCTCAAACTTCAGCATGCAGAAAAACTGAGAGGGGCAAAGGGAGGCAGAATCAGGCTGTGCTGGCTCCAGCCCCCATTCTGATACCCACAGGTACTTCAGGGCACCCGACAGACAAACTCACTGCATGCCAATCAGATCTAACCTCTCATCCTCTTTGCCTGACTCTCCCCCAGGCCTTGTAAGGATGTGGGCTGCAACTTTGCTTTCACCCTCTTACTTCACCTTCCTCTCTCATAAAATGAATGACGTGAGAGCTCCTTCCCAGCTCCTTTCCCCTTGGGGCTGCCCAGCCCTGCCCTGCTCTATTCTACTGCCCCTTTCTGTAGAGATGCACCTGCTGCCTTGCAGAGGAGCATGGATCTGGGGGACTCTGCCCCGGCGCAGCCCTGGAGCAGGCTGAGCAGGCTCTGGGGAAAGGACTGTGCTGCAGACCCGGTGCGTGCTCTCCAAGAGGGCTGCATCCCACTGCAGTGATGCCTGCAGCTGCCCTTCTCCCACCCTGTCAGCACAAAAGGGATGGAGCTGAGATGCTGAAATGCTCCTACCTGAACCACTGCTTCTGCGGCTGCTGCACCACTCTGGACTGATCTGTCACAAGCAAGTGCTGCTGACTCTTCCTCGGCAGAGGCAGGATGGGCTCCCCTCTTAAAGGGGCAGTGCCTTTGCCACTCGCAACTGCCTCATTTATTGGCTTGTGTTTTCATGCTGACCTGGCTGGAGGCTTGCCTGGGATGGTGTAAGCATGGGATTGGGTACCAGGGCATTCAGATCCCTACCTCCAGCTCCGCCATTGGGTCACTGTGTGAATGTGGGCAAATCTCATTGCCTCAGTTTCCCCAGTTGGTAGAAGAAGGATAATGTCACCAAGTCTGAATAGTGCTTGGTGCAATTTCCTTGCCTTTTACCATCATGCAGCACTCCCTTAGGCACCTCATGGCATGGGAAAGGGATTGGACTGGCCCAGGACTCCAACCCCTGGCCTGTGCCAGGCAGAAGCCCACGTAAGGGGAGTCCTGGATTGCTGCAGTGTCAGAAGTGCCCTCCCCGCCACACTTTACTTATGGGTCGGTGTGTGTGAAGTACAGGGACCACGCAGCTGAGCATGGTATACATATCCTAATTATAGGTGAGGTGGGGTCTCAGGCTTGGGTATCAGAGGTGCCCAGCTTATTTGGCAGACAAGGTTCGTTGGGTAAATCTGATATCTTTTATTAGAGCAACTCAAATAGTTGGAAAAAGTCTTCTTTGCAAGCTTTTTGGTTACAGATACCCTTCTTCAGGCTGAGGAAGCATCTGCAGTTGGTGTGTGCCTGGATGGAGGAGCACACAGCTATTTGGGGCACGTAGGGTGATGCCATCTGCATACCTGGAAACCTCTGCTCCCAGGAAGCAGAGAGTCCTTCCCCCAGACACCGGTTTTTATTTACAATGAATTGCATGAGCGAGTGGAATATCTCAGAGCTACTGACACCTCCTCCTCGAACCCAGCTTCTAGTCCCCTCGCACTGCAGTTGCAAGGCCTTCCTCCTCCCCTCGAAGCATCTGCATAATTACAGTCCAGTCCCCCCCTCCATCTGGGCTTCTCTTCATTCCTCCTCCTGCTTTCTCATGCCCTTCTTCCTTCTTCAGTTGCATGCAGGCATCCACTTGGCACTGGCCTCTGACTTGTGGTGCATCTGCTCTTTGGGAGGCAGGATGGGGGGCTGGGGTGTGGAAATCCCAACTTGAAATACCTCCAGGCTGATTTTCAACAGGGCCCAGACTCCCCACACGTGTCAAATGACTGGCTGCACGTCTGTGTAACAGGAGCCTAGGCTATTTCCAAGGTGAGGCTAAGCAACGTCATTCGAATGCCCTATTATTTGCATGGGGTGAGGTCAGGTGTGTGCTGGGCCTGCCAACCTGCCGTCTCATTTCAGATGTAATAGGAAGGCGCAGCGGAGAAGCAAAAGGCGCAGGGCTCCTGCAGCCGCCCCACTGCACTAAGCGTGAAGTTGGGCCGCTGTACCAAACTGCTGGTGTGATTCATTTTGGTAGCACTGACAAGGAGGGTACCAGGTTTGCAAAACAGCTTTCCTTTGAAGGCCTCGTTACACAGTCATTTCAGGGCAGCTCCTAGAGCTCTTAACCCCTGTTGGCACAGTCACACCCGAAACTATTTCTATGTACTAGGTGTGCAGCTCGGCGGGGGGACATTGTAATAATGTTCCAGGTCAAATGAGCCCAATCCGGTCCAAACCAGATGGACTGAGCAGAACCCAAAAACCAGAACAGTGGAGCAAGCACAACTCAATTGTCCTAAATTGCCAGGTAGGGTGCTACAGCTGGCAAGCATCCGCCACCCCGGGGCTTGAGAGACTGCCAGATCCGCTGGCAGGCCTCTGCCCTGGAGGCCCTGGGACTGAACGCCTCCAAGCACGGCCCGGCTGGCCCCTCCGGCGGCGCCCGTGCGCCACTCGCCTGCACTTACTCGGCGCCACCAGGGGAGGCGCCC